GACGGACGGACGGACGGACGGACGGACGGACGGACGGACGGACGGACGGACAGACAGACAGACAGACAGACAGACAGACAGACAGACAGACAGACAGACAGATAGACAGATAGACAGATAGACAGATAGACAGATAGACAGATAGATAGATAGATAGATAGATAGATAGATAGATGGCAGACAGACAGACAGACAGAGTGGGATCTATTTTATGTCCTCTGTTATTTTATTAATATATTTTGGAACTCATCAGGCAAACCCATTTAAAAATTAATGTTTATGATGATAAAATAAAAGTGAAGAAAAATATGCTAAAGTTTATATTTACTTTGTAAAATCAAAAAGTTAAATGACGCCTCATATGTCAAACTTAAGTGCTCAGCCACAATTTATTTATTAAAAGACGTTGCCACACACACAGTCGCACACGTGTTTAACAGACGTCTCACATGCCCACAGCAACACTCCCAGCAGGAGGAGTACATCCAAATGTGTCTGTGACCCTCTGCTTGCCTTGGTGAGCCATCGTGACCTGTTGGGTCACGGGGTCAGCAGGGGAGTATAAACACGCAGGCGAAGCTGCTACTAAGAGCATGGTGAGGATTCCTCTATGACCCGCTACAAAATTACAGACACACACACTCAACTGTGTTTAGTTAAGCCTAACAGTGTGATACAACTGTCAGCAGGAGACATATGGTTTGAGTGAGAACTGGCAAGGGTCAAATAAAACTCAAATAAAATCTTTGGCTGAGAAAAAAAAAAGAAAAGTTTAAAAGCCATAAATATAAAAGCCCTTCCCCAGCACAACCTGAGCATTTTACAGTAAACACTTACATATGTATATTTGTGAGAGCGAAGGAGTAACAGCTATGAACTAGATGACAAATAGGTCCACCTGCTTCCTCACACTGACATCTTTATTTTGTTTACAGAAGACTGTAGGCGTCTGCCAGACCAAAAAAGACAACATAACCTTTCACGCTGCACACAAAACCTGGAATGCTATTTATCTTAAAGGCTCTTTCCAAAACATGGCGCTGCTGGCTGTCGGGGGGGGCAGAGCAGAGATGGAGCCAACTGTTAGTGCCGCGTCCACACCCTCACCTGTCAAAGACCTTTAGGTGTGTTGGGGAAAATGGAAACCTTTTATTCCGTTTCCTGTTTGAATAACATAAATTTTGTTTACAAGTTGTACTTTTAGCGCTAATTAGTTTATCCATTAACTCAAACCTTCCAAAGACAGTAGGTAACAGCAATAAAAAAAAAAAGTGTGATGCCAAATTATTGACGGTTTTGTTCTCGTTCTTTTGTTTCCTCTTTCATCAACAGTTCCTTTTCCTGCAAGAACGCTTCAGAGGCAGAGAGGTGAATATAACAAAATGAGATCCATACAGCCTCAGTCGTGCATGCACACTTTACAAGGCGGTGCAATCATTCACACATCAACTGAGGAGTGACTGGTTCCTAGGCCCCAGATTTTATCTGCCCATCAGGTTACAGGGACCAATTGGTGGTGGTGGTGGTGGGGGGTTGCTGGATTTACTTTGCAAGATAAGGAAGAGAGACATAAACGTACTGTGCAAGGGCGTTTATTGGTTGGACCTGCGTTACTGGTTGACTGACTAACTGGGACTCTGTTATGAGAAAGAAGGATTAAGCAGGGAAGATGCTCCGTGTTCACTGATTCACAGCGGCAAAAGATAAAATGAGGAAATAACAGAGGGATTTAGGAGAAGGCTCACACAAGCAGAGAAGCCATGGGGCAAAAAAAAACAACAATGCTACCTATGCACAGATGGACTCTGCCTACAGTGAGAGACCAATTACATTAATTTCAGAACAACAATCCTTCAGGCAAAAGATGAACTGAAAAAAAAAATCATAAAAAGGTGGATGTGAAAACCCCTTACATGTTAAACAAAGCCTTTAATTAATTTATTTATTTTATAACTCTGCGGTAGATTCAAAGGATCATTTAGATTGAATCAAGCGATAGTGTATTTCAAAGCCAACGAGGAGGATATGTTGTGCTCAGTTCATCAGTAGGAAAAGAAACACTGTATTCACAGCTCCCACATGGACATAAAGGTTACTGTCAGTAAAAAATTCAGCCACGGCTATAGCTTGGACAGGAAGGACAAATGCACAGTATGCTTGTGCATTCTTGGGCAGGATGTGGAACGCTTGCATTGTGAAGTGGAAAACAGTTGGATATGCTCTGGACTCTGGATGAACCTTGCATATCCATCTGGGTGAATCGCCTAAACATGTTCATACCATTTTATTTTGTCCTCACATTTCATCCTTGTTACGTCTCACAGATCAGACCTACCAAGTCTTGTTTAAAAAACAAAATATTCTCGCATTGCATTTTTTTTAATATAAAAATTGTAAGAGAAATCACATTAACTAGCAACTTAATGGATTAGTGGTTAGCGCTGTTGCATCACATCAAGAAGGTCATAGGTTCAAGCCTCAGATTGAGCATGGAGTCTTTTTGTGTGGAGTTTGCATGTTATCCTTGTGCTTACGTGTGTTTCCTCCCACAATCCAAAAGCATGCAGAATTAAGATTGTCATAAGGCTTAGGTCCCACTTGAAAAAGAGGTCTGTAATTTAAATAGTATGTCTGATTTAAAAAAAATGAATAAATAAAAGAAACATTGAGTTCAGAGTGTGGAAAGGACAATGACCCACATCAGATCCCAAGAAGTGACCCGTTTATCTCATTCCTCAGGTAGGTGGTACAAAAACAATTACACCCTGTAAAACATTTTTTTTATGGTTGCTATTTAGAGACATTTATCAAACTGTTTTAATTTGTGTCTAAAACCAAAACAAAATAATCATTTCTCAGCAGTAAAAGGATCTACCACACATGCAGCTACACATCCTGGTCCAGCTGCAGCCTTGACACCAAGCCAGGGAGAAGGGAATCCCTGGCATTCATACCTCCTGGAAATGTTCCTAAAATTGTGTGTGTGTGTTTGTGCGTAGCCACGTTTGACTGTGCCTCAAGACTCAAAAGACAAAAAAAATAAAGCATGCAGTTAGTTAGAAAGTAACCATTTGTCCTATCCTCAGTTCAAATGGCTGAAATTTAAATCCCAAAAAAACACAAAGCATAATAAAATTCTCATAATACGTCTGGGAACTGTTAAAAAAAAAAAAAAAGCATTAGTAACACTTTGTCTTTAAAAACATGAGATTAGTTTGTTTTTATTTTTACAGTGAGATTTACACCATGACGACTATCGCAACCAGTATGATTGAACTTTTGTCAGATTTAATCAACCTGTTGATCTGATCAAGTTTGTTTGATTAGAAATATGCACTTTTAAATCAATTCTTGAGTCTTTTAAGCAAATTTGTGCTAAGATTTGGCTCCGAGCATCGAAACTTTTTTGGATCAGTCCTTCAGTTTGTTGGATAACATTGAGCCATACTCTTAAACGGAACAAAACAAGAGCGTGTAACATTGATGCATTCAGCCCTCGGTTTGTCCCAACAATTACTACCTCCCTGCTGCTGCATTATCAGGCCGCCTCATCAGTGCGTCCCTCTTTTTTCCCTGAGGAGGAAGTGGATAAGAGGGTTGGGCTAATAGCATCATTCAAGCTGGGAGGTAGCTCTTGTGAATGAGACTTCTCACAACTGGGGAGGGATCTTTTAATTAGGGCTTGGCGGTCTATTCATCATACATTCTAACCTTTTTTTTAAACATCACAAAAACAGACCTCCGAATGCGACAAAAAGATCTACAGAAACTTAAGCGCTGGTCCTATGTTGAGGCAAACACAGCAAGCAGAGACCAACAGGTGGCATTATTAGTCTTTGCAGAATCTATATGAGTGGAGGTAGCGACATCAATAGGAGGTGAAAGAGACGTTTAAAGATTGTCTAACAAGCTGGAATGTAATTCTATGACAACTGGAGCGTTATTAACCAACGATGTAACAGTGCTCTGCGTAGTCAGGAAGACTAGAAAACTGACATATATTTAAAATGCAGTCCATTTAACCAGCTTTCTATTTTAAAATGTTTTACTGAAATGTATTTTTAGGGATGAGTTGGGCTGGTTTGTGTCATCCATAGATAATAAAGTCTTGGGCATGTGCCCTGATGACGTGTTTTGAAGTTTGATTTAATTTTAACACTTGTTGATTTTGAAGGTACTTATTGTACGGCGGAGCTTTAAGGCCATGCTAAGAAGAAAAAAAATTAAAAGCCATAAAATTACGAGAATAAAGTCAAATAAAGTTTTAATATTACGTGAATAAAGTCATATGAGTCTTTTAATAATAAATAATAAAGTGCTATGTGTTATCATCATTGTATGTTGCCATACAAAGACAAAATTGGCTCTCTGCATTTAGCCCCTTGCACCTGGGATGCACCCAGGTGGCGCAGTGGGCAGCTATGTAAGCACCAGAGGAGCAATTCAGGATTAGGTGTCCTGCTCAGAGACACCACGAGATGTGCAATGACCGGGGATCGAACCCAGGACCTTCGGGTCCCGAGTCGGCTGCCCTGCCCCTACACTATCTCGGCTGCATCTTTGCGGCTCTTGTGTTGTTTTTTTCCCCACGAGTCGGACCCACAACGCGACCTGTCAATCAATCCAGTAGGTGTGTCAGCAAATGACCAGTCCGAAGCTGAACGAGTCGTAATATTATCCGAACTCCGACATGATAAAGCAGTTTACCACATTTTAACTGTGGTAAAATGAAGAATGTTGAGCATCTTGTTAAGTTATACTTTGGTATTGGTTTTACAAATAAGGAGATATTTAATCTGTTAGCACATCAGCATCAGATTATTATCAGTATCAGGACTTTGAACCTGCTGACGGTAAGGTGGTACGCTCTGATGGGCTGCAGCAGCTCTCTGCAGGTAAAGAGCATTTAGCTTCGGACTGGTCATTTGGTGACACGCCTACTGGATTGACTGACAGGTCGCGTTGTGGATCCGACTCGTGGAAAATAAATAAATAAATAAATGAGAGTTGTAAAAAAAAAAAAAAAAGTCTTGTACGACTTTATTCTCATAATATTAAGACTTTACTCGACTTTATTCTCGTAATGTTATGGCTTTTAAGTTGTTTTTTTCTTATTGAAGCCCTAAAGCTCCGTCGTACTATTGCATTGTCAAAAAGATCAGTCAAAAAACAAAAACAAATAGAAGGAAACAAAACTGAAAGTTTTTTTTTTTTTCTTATATTGATAGATAATGTTTCCTTAAATTAAAAAAATGTGTAAGTATTTTTGTGATTGGCTGACAACTACTACCTGTGATTGTTTACCTACAGCTGAAGTGACTGAAAATAGGTCCGTATAAGAGCTGTTTGGAAATGAGAAGTCTGAAGAGTTTGATAAACTGGCATGTACGGTAGTTATGCTCAGTTTTGTTGACTGCAGTACAAAAATAAAAAAGATAGGTTGTGTTAAAATGGTAACCTTATCGGTCTAGCAAAAGTTTAACAAAAGCTTTGTGTATTTGAATGTCGAGCTCTGTCTTTTTGGCTTTCCACCACCCTGCTCGAGCCCCCATATTTATTCTCAACAGCTGTCACAATAAATCTCTCCATTTTATTTTGCATTTAGCTGCAGCTTCAATCTTAGATTTCCATCTTCTCCTACAATCTATGCATTTTCTGGTTCCACCATATTTGTTTACCTATAGACTACAGCCAGCCTAATGTAGGTCCATCATGTATCTCAAGCATCCGCTTGGGTTTTGACAGATTCACGTTTACATTGACTGTGAACCTGCATTGCAGAATTGTATATCAATATATCTGGGAAACTCGTTTAGGATAATTTTTGTGTTTTATTTTACAATTTGCAGAGAGTGCCCTCTAAAATAAAGGAACGCATGTGCAAATGGAAATGAATCGTGTAACTTTGATAGACTTAATCAAGTGAACTCTATTCATTTAGGGTTTACCACGTAGGCAGTCACTGAAGTCTACTCCAGCCGACTTTGGCCTTGAGGTGGAGTACACCTTGGACACGTCACCTGGCTAACACCGAGACAATTATTCATTTACTCATGGAATAAAACAAGATAAAATCACAATTTTTCGTACAGACCAACTCTACAAACATATACTGGTTGACAGCTGCAAAATAGTTTCTTCAAAGTCAGTTTACCACCTGCCTGCCGGTGGTTTAGCAATAGATCAGAATCCAACATCACAAACTATGTTTTGTTTCATATTTGAAACAGGAAAGAGAATTGAAGCAGTAGGTTTAACGAGTTGTTGATGTACAAAATGAGAGAAAAGCACAATGTTATCACCTTTTGTTGCAAAAAATCCTTTTGTGTGAGAAATTAAAACTGCAAAATGAGAAATTTAACAAGGGCTTAAAAGACAAACTCCTCCAGGTGAAAATCAATAGAGGCAGTCCCTCCCATTCTTCCCACCTCTGGGGCTCAAGTTGCTCTGCAGCGTTGAACCTTCCTCACATGCAGCTGCTCTCTGCCTGTGAATGGCTCCCCGAGTGCTCTTCTGCTGTTCTATGTGCTGGCCAGCAACACCCAGTGCTAACGTGCCAGGGGAGGACTTCCAGAGATTCAATAAGAGCTAAATAAACCAAACTGCATCTGGGAGAGCAGTAACACTGGTAAACAATGGTCTGTGGCCTGGCCACAAAGCTGGGCCCTTGTTTCTACATAATGATGACGGAACTGGGTTTCTGCACTGCTGCTTGTTAAACTCTCTAAGGCTCATCACTATGCTGGAACACATGCACGTGTTTGTAAAGCTATTCATGAGCATTTAGGTCCAACAGATAATTTCTCTGTGACTAGACTGGTATAATTTTACTTTTAAGGAGACAACAGAATGCTAAAACTCAAAAACAAAGTTTAAAAATATGCGTGCACAAAAATATATCACCAGCGGTTCTTTTCTCCAAATTACTGGATAAAAAAATTAAATGTGTCAATGCATAGCTATGAAGCTGAGCTACAATTTTCAGAGACATAGTCTGGACTAGAGGACTCCCTGCTGGTGACAGAAAACATACGAGTAAAAAAAAACAATCCTTCAATAAGAGCCACTGCTTTTGACAGAAAAACAAATGTTTGCCTAAAATTAACTTTAACTTTTGGCCAATTTAATTTATAATATAAATAATAGCATTAAAATGCAACAGAGAAAGAAATTTAAATAAATAAATACATTTTTGTTTTGCTCATTTTCAAATAGCAACATATAGTACAAAAAGAGAAAAGTCAAGGTATGCTCTTTCTAATCATTTAAAAAAACGCATCTGCATAGAATATCCTAAAAGTGACCTAATTATGGTTTGGATCTTTGCCCCATGTAGCTGATCAGAGACAATAAGGATGCAAAGGTTTCTGCTTTGAGGCTATATAAAAATCGTTTTTAAACATACCCATCATTAGAGCAGGTCATAAACTCCTCTTTAATCTTGGGATGCCAGCACCCATTGTTCAGCATTGCTGTGTGTCCCTGTAAAGAGAGCAACGTGACAATAAATAAACATTCAACTTTAAAACCTCTGAGCTTCAGTTTCATCGACTTTGAAAAGTTGCACACTGATAAATTACGGCCAAGTTCTTTTGTGCAGACTCGTGCACGGATATAAACAAGAGCCATTTGCTTCAAAACAGTTGTCAAACTCTTAGCATTTAAAGACAAGCCAATAGTTAAAATCCAGTAATGGCAAACAAAGAGCTAAAAAGGATAAATGCTGCCAAGACCAACTGATATGTTTAGCAATCTTACTGCATCTAAATATTACAAACACAGTAATGAGACAGCTGTTGTTCATCAATTATCTATTGGTTTTCAGTTTGTTTCACACCCAATTACCACTAAAATGTTTTTAATTGTTTCCTTTTTGCACACAATTAGTTTATATCTTATTTGAGTTTATGACAAAGAGGTCCCTCCTTAAGAAAAGGGCTATTACCGTAGTTTGATGATCCTAATGTAATAACAACTTCTGGCCTTTCTCAGCATAGAAATAGTCTTAAACTGAGCCAGTGAACTCTAAGGCTGAGCGACTTGCAGCGTCACATATTTAAGCAGAGAGTTCCTTGCAGAGTAACTTAGCTATCTCCTATGCTTGAGGAGTCATGGATTACTCATAAGAAATAACTTTAAGGCAGAACAACCCAGATGGAGGCCTCCATGACTGCTGGGTCAAAGAGGAACATTGGTGTGCTGCACACGACACATAGCTATTAGACAGAACACACAGAGAGCAGAGCTGTGCATGAGCAGAAGCTGACTGAACGACATCGGTATGCGTGGATCAGGAACAGGGCCTGTCTGTTCACTGTCAAATACTTTAAACACGCCACTTTAATGACTAATTAAGAGGAACCGCCTATGGCTTGATGTTTTACGGCAAAAAAAAAAAAGTATGACAAATAGCTGAGCTGTAAAATTTTATGGTAAAATACTTCTGAAAAAGCAATATGAAGACAAGTGCTCTGTGCGGTTCAACTACGCTGCTCTGTAAAACAATATCAGAACAAGCAATCATTCATTTCAAGAGCTTCACAATTAGGCTGACTGAGCTGCTGCCCTCCTGAACCAAATCTGATTCCTCTTCCTCAACAGTTTGGGACAACAAATTGCCAATGACTAAAAAGAAGCAGGTTGAAGTCGATACCATCAGTAAACAGAATGCATGCTAATGACAAACAGCAAAAACAACAGTTATTGATTTGAGGACAACACTGGCATGTCTGTGTTTCATTAATACAGTTGCTGTCAGCAGAAATAAATTGTTTTTAGCAAGTTTGCATGTTGTGGTGACCCTTGCAGAATGTTGCAGCCAAAAGAGAAATAAGAAGCAAAAAAATTTTATTATTCATAATAACCCTAACACTAAAGCATTAGTAGTTGAGCCTCATCACCAACACATACCTTGAGCTATTAAAAGTCATATAGTGGCTACAATAAAACTTTCTATAGTACTCCAATATGAGATTGTTTAAAAAAATTGCATGCATGGCAGTGGGCCATATGCATTAATTCAAGGAATGCTTCATTTTATTGGCTTTGGATTTGAAGTGATGGTTGAACAAAACAGAGGTGGTGGTTCACACTCTTGAAAAGGTGGACCAGAGAGTGTGTTCCAATTATCGTGGGATCACACTTCCCGTCCTCCCTGGGAAAGTTTATTCCAGTGTGTTGGAAAGGAGGCTCCGATCGACTGTCGAACCTCAGATTCAGGAGGAGCAATGTGGATTCCGTCCTGGTCATGGAACAGTGGACCAGATATTTAACCTTGTGGTGTTGCTGGTCTACATGTGTTTTGTGGATATGAAGAAGGCTTATGACCGTGTTCCTTGAAGCATTCTGTGGGGGTGCTGCAGGAGTATGGGGTGCCTGGGTTGTTTTTAAGAGCTATCCAGTCCCTGTATGACCAAAACAGGAGCTACGTCCGCATTTGTAACGAAAAGTAGAGTGTTTTTAGTGTGGGTTGAACTCTGCCCAGGCTGTTCCTTGTCTCTGATCCTGTTTGTGGTGTTCATGGACAGGATCTAAAGCTGCAGTCGTGGCGAGGAGGGTGTCTGATTTGGGAACCCCAGGGTGTCATCTCAGCTTTATGCAGATGATGTGGTTCTGTTGGCATCTTCAGGCCAGGACCTTCAGTGTGCACTGGGGTGGGTTGCAGCAAAGTGTGAAGCGGATGGGATGAGAGTCAGTTCCTGTAAGTCTGAGGCAATCATTCTCAACTGGAAATGGGTGGAATACCCCCCCACACCCCTGGGTCAGGGGAGACTTTGCCTCAGGTGGAGGAGTTCGAGTATCTGTGCATCTTGCTCACAAGTGATTGTAGGATGGAGCGAGAGATGGATCGATGGATTAGGGTCTCATCCTCAGTAACGAGGACGTTGCTTTGGGCAGTCATGGTGAAGAAAGAGCTGAGTCGAAAGGCAAAACTCTAGATTTATTGACCCGTCTACATTCCAACCCTCAACTATGATCATGAGGTTTGTATCATAACAGAAAGAATGAGATCCTGGATACAAGTGGCCGAAATGGGGTTCCTTCGTAGGGTGGCTGGGCTCAGCCTTACAGATATGGTGAGGAGCTCCATCATCCAGCGGTAGCTTGGAGTAAAGCTGCTACTCCTCCACATCGAAAGGAGTCAGTTGATGTGGTTCAGACATCTGATCAGGATGCCTCCTGGATGCCTGCCTTTAGAGGTTTTCCAGGCATGTCCTGCTGGTAGGAGGCCCCGGGGAAGACCCAGAAGCCATTGGAGGGACTGTGTATCTTCTCTGGCCTGGGAACGTCTTGAGGTCCCCCAGAACGAGCTGAAAAGTGTCGCTAGGGAGAGGGATGTCTCCTGTTGCCTCTATGACCCAACTACAGATAAGCAGTAGAACATGAACGGATGAATGGATGGATGGTTGAACAAAACAATGCAAAGTATGTGATATACAGTAAATAGATTATGCTGATGATATTTTATTCTTCCAAATGCTGCAGATGAAGAAATTGTTTGGGGTAAAATATCTCGTCATTCTACTACATGTAGTCCAGTAAGTCCCCAAACTCTCAGTGAACAGGAGGGATAAATAAGAAGGAAAGCAGCTGTATGTCAACAGAGGTAGTTTACAAGCAAGAGTTTAATTATCACATGAGACACAGGTAATCGACTGGGACACTGTCAGCAGGCCAAAACGCAGTTTCACTGAACCAAACTTCTCCAGATGGAACTGAGTAGGATTAGAAAGTAGGGAATTCAGGAAACCCCTAGTTGCAACCAATGGACCTTCACTTGAAGCACTTCATATGGCTGGTATAAACCATGTCAAAATGTGCTGCAGCTGGCACAGATGGTTGCAGTGACCACCAATAATAGCTTTCTTAAACACTCTAATGCCCAAACATGAAGTTTAAATTAGGATCTTTCTTTGTAGATTCACATGTATGAATCACAACAGCCCTAAAAACCAAAAATGGAGTTCCCTTTTCCCTTCCTCTGGGCGATTACACAGCATAAATCCTTATCCTTACATCATAAACCAGAGCAGGTGCGTCCTGCAACTATCAAACACTTGCATGATGTCCTCAAAGAGCAGAAGAGGAGATCATCGTGTCTGTGTTTAAAAATGGCAGAAACGAATGCACCGCTGTTACTTCACCCATGAAAACAAACACGCATCATTTTCAACATTATTCGATACAAATGTAAAAGTTTTTGTAATTTTTACGCAGAAGAGAGAGAGAAAGCATACGTGATTCATTACATCTTTAAACAATATGAGCTTTATTACATTATTGTTATGAAACTGGAAATGTACAAGCTGCGTTTTAAAAAGATTTTATATGCGTTTCTAAAATATATATCTGGTGAGCATAATTACTGCTGACATCTTAAAGATTTATTCCAAATCACCACAACAAAAAAAAGTTTTAGTTTTATAGTTTGGGTCATCATGGAAAAATCATTTTGCAAAGAATGTATTGTAAATAATTGCTAAAATCTGAAACAATCACAACCAGAATCCAAAATCAATACCTGCCAAGTCATTATTGAGTTTGGAATACAAAATGAAAACAAAACCAAATTAAACAGATAATCAAATCAGTGCAACTTAGTTGAATTTGGGTCTCTTTACAACATCTTTTTAATTTTATTTGAATTACAAAAATATGTTAATTTAACAACAAAAAAAAACTTCAATGCATTTTAATGTTTATTTTTATTCTAAATACAGTTGTACTAAATATGTTCTTGAATGCTAACTAACAAGTAGAGGTAGTTCTTTAAGTTATAAATGTTCTGAGTGATAACATTTTTCTTTGTCAGTAAATTTTCTTCACTTTACTCGATAACTTTTATGCACCATCTTCACAAATTAAAGAAATAACTGGATAATATGTCAAGATTTCAGAGTTTTACAACAGAATAGATAAAGAAGTGTATTTTAGCCTACCTTGGTGTTAGCCATATCCACAATATATTGGTCTCCCTTCACACACTCAATGACATTGAAGCCATCACGGTCCAACACTTTGGCCTGTGCATTGCCAGAAACCACCAGGATGACATCACCAGTGATGCTGTACTGCAGAGACTTGATCTGATGGCTGAAAAAACATGCAAACGAGGCCAAGAAAATAGTTTAGCTGGCACTTCTGCGGTTATGTCACATTGTGTTTTATTTTCAAACTATAGAAAAGGTTCTGAGTCAAAGCACTTATAGAAAATGTTTTAGGAATAGAAATGGCTCAGAAAACATCACATATGATACTGCTCGTGTGTCACTGCATGATGCTTGTATTTTTATGAACTGCTGATAATCAGAGTATGTCTGACAACTAATATTTTAGATGTGCAACAAGAAACGCAAAAAAAATTTTGACTGTCGGAATTACAGCTTTTGGAAGCTGTGAAATTTTAGAAAAAGTAATATTTGAAACTAAATAAATCTGTAAGTCACGAGTACAGACTAAAAATGCATAAACCTTTAACACAGAAGTAAAAGTTTCTCTAATTTTAGCTCATATTCTGAGCTTTGCGTTTTCATAATCCACAATATATTTAGTTTTTATTTCAACAAGTTAAACTTACAAATCGACAACATTTTCAAGTGGCAGCTTTGAAGAGACAAGTGTCTAAAACACAAGACTGTGCGTAGCAAGTGAAGCCAAATAAAATGAACAGAAAAGGTGAAAAGTCACACAAAGATTAAATGAAACTAGAATTAATATAAATTTTACTCAAGTGGAAAATGCGAGATTAACGAATGTTCTAAAGTTCAGTAAAACCCACCTTGTTTTTTATTAAATGAACTCACATGTTGCCATGTGAGGAAAGACAAGCAATGAACCTCAGCTGCTTGGCTTTCTGAATGAAGCCCTGCTTGTTAGCAAACAAAACAGGCTACTAGTTCATAATGTAATCAGACTAAATGTAGCGTGATTTTTTTTTTTTTGTAAAAGGGAAGCCCGATCCAGCTCAGCGCACTGGTTCCCAAAACCACAAAAGGAATTTGATCCTTAATGACAGCTTCAGTTTAACAAGGAGTAAACACACACACACACAAATACCCACATAATTTCACCATCTGCTTCTGAAAGCCTAATTTTGCATGAAAAGAGAGGATGCCACAAAGTAAGCACGAGGCTCGATGGAGCTCATCAAATGTGCACGTTTGTGTACAAGTGTTCACTTTGACACACCTAAATGAAGTCAGTGTGTCTGGTGTTTGCATGAAACCAATTAAACACATGTTAAACAACTGTTCTGATGTTTCACATACCACTCACAGGGTTGCAGGGACCTGAAGGCCTGCAGAGACTGGTCCATCCCCGCAAAATCCCAAAAACGCACATCATAGTCATATCCACCTGTCACCAGACGGGCTCCAGAGGGGTCCAAGCCAAGAGCTGATACCTGAGGAGACAATTAAGTCTTCTTTAGAAGTCACCTTCTAAACCTGTGCACATCAAAAATCAACTGACTGTAGATGGCTACTTCAGATACAACCTCCTTAAAGGAGAAATATTAAATAAATAAATATATTTAAACTTAATGATGCATAATGATCTAATTGTTCAGAACTAAAATGTTTTAATAACAAAATTGGCTCCGTCTCTAAATACCTGAATGAGAACTACAATTATTCACAACTCACAATATCTAGATTAACAAAACAACAACTGTCATTACAATTTTAGACAAAGATTTATTTTTTAACTGATGTAAATCTAGAAATTTCCGATGGTTTATGGTTAGGTATGAGGAGATTTATAAGAATATCAGGTAGTCAACAGATTCTTCTTCCCAGATAAATAAAAATAAATAAATAAAAAGAAAATCAGTAAATTATTGTTATAGAATCCATAACTATTAAAAAGACTGGGTGCAAGCAAAAGCCTTACTGTTTTGGTGCCATGCTGTAAAATGATCTCATGAGTGTCTGGAATCTTTTTCACTGGATTCTGGGTCAAGTTGAGGAGAACATAAAAGAAGAAAATGAGTTATTTGCTTTTTTTATGGTGTACTATTTCATTCTATTCCAAATCATTTGATTAGACTTAGTGAGCAAAAAGCTGAATGCTAAGAATTATTGAAAAGCAACAAATTTCTGAAGTTAGGATGCAAGACTGTGAACTGATGGTTTGAACTTAAATCCTAACCTTTTGGATATTTACAAGGCCCTTTGTGATTACAGTATTAATAGATGCTGATATGTTGCAGGTGTCACAGGAATTTTGCTGAAATAAACAATCAGAAATTCTGTTCAACACAACATTGGCATTAAGTTGTCTCGTGCTGCCACCTTGTGGTAAGAGTGTTAAACCTCTAAGCACAGATGCTAATGGTGTTTTTCTAGACCACTTTCATTCAAGAAACTAACATTTTAAGGAGAAAACTGTATGTGTGAATACATACATTATTGATGGTAAGGGTGCAACTTACTTCTTTACTTTCTATATACCTCACATTGTAAATGTTGGTTTTTTAGAAAAACCAAACACAGTATGTTTGTATGCTATTAATAATTCAGATTTTACTACTAATATTAAAATGAGTAAAATGAGAGTTCACATCCTTAATACTTAAAAAAAAAACTACCGAGCAATAAAAATCATGTTGTAATTAACATATTAGCCCCACTGTTATTGACATTTCAAACATACATCATCATCATCATCATCTTGAGCCTCCTCTTCATCAGCATCATCATCCTCCTCGTCACTTTGTGCTGTGCTGCTCCTGTAACCTGGTGGAAGCGGAGGACCCACAAGTTCGTCATCCTCCTGGGTTGTTTGCTGAGGAAGCACCAGGGGCCCAATGAGCTCAGACTCTGACTCACTGCTGTCACTACTGTTCACACTTTTTTGTACTCTTTAAAAAAGAAAGAGGAAAAAGTCATTGACAAACTACACTAATTATTTCAAGCATTTTTTTTAGAAGAAATGTGATGAATAGAAGGATTGAACAAACACGCCAAACACAATAATCTCAGCCTACCTAGAAGAAGCAGCAGCACTTTTGTCTCTCTGACTGTGAACTGATGGTTTGACTGACATGGAGCTCTCGTCTTCCTCTTCCTTCTGTCGTTCCTCTGAAGAAACAAGTGTTGCGATGAAGCCACTTATTCACAAAATGACAAATCAGGTCCAAACAGTGCATGCACTTATTAGGCTGTTAAACCTACAACACTACATTAGACAACAATAGATGATTTGTCTATGTACCGGTATACTAATTTCATTGCATATTATCATTATTTATAACAAACTTACCTAGTGCACGTTGACTTCTCTCAATAGCGGTTCGCCGAGTTTGCTCAAAAATTGCATTAAAGTCAAATGTTCGAGCTTTTTTGCCTGAAAAGTAAAAATAAAACAAATAAAATCTGCTTAATGTGTGAATGTCAAAAGAATATTGAGGGCTGTGTAATAAAAATATAAGCCTTTGTAACTATACTTACCAAATCCAGAGAATCCCATGACAGATCCAATATCCCCATCGTCACTCATTTTGTCTGATGATGTTAGAGTATATTTTTGGCATTTAAATGGCATATTGTACATTTAGTTTAAAGAACTGCAAAGCCTACTTTCGTAAAATATGTTTTTATTTACAAACAACAGAGATTATATTTTCTATTTCTTGAGCAGACAGATTCACTATTTAAATTCGGTATCTCTACAGTAATACTATATCTGTATAGTATAATGCTATAAATATAATGTCCAAAAGGCTGTTTTGATTTACCGGGTACTTCATTTTACGTAACTGTAAAAAGTTATACTACATAATTTTAGCTAGCTCCCTTTTGTTGTTTGTTTTTAGGGAGGAATTGTGATTTTGAGATCTAATACAGCTCTGGTTGTCCGTATTAATTGGGATATTTAAAATTTATCCTGAAAAATAAACAACTGAAGTAGAAAATACGTTTTAAAAAAGAAAGAAATACAGTAAACAAACTACAAAGCTAAAGCTAGCACAAGGTAGCAATAGTTACAAACAATTCAACGAACATTAGCTATAAAAAAATGTCTATAACCTTAAAACTTAAGCCCGTAAAAGTACGTCACATAAACGTAAAGTTATAGAGAGCTATACAGACTTACTAACATAAAAAAAGAACATTATACCTTCATCTACTTTTTCAGCATCCATTTTTTTTTTTTAAATATGACCTCTAACCTCCGGAAGTATTTCTTCTTCTTCTACGTTTTGGTTCAAATGTCCTACAGGGCGCCACACAGGCAAATAAAATATATATTTTTAGCTTTTTTATTTTATTTTATTTTATTTATTCATTCATTGAAAATAAAATGTTTGGCAATAAAATTATTAAGTTTTTTTTTTTTTTTTTAAAAGGTATCATATTAGCTCATTTTAAACAATACTAAACGTGTGTTGGGAATTCTTTAACGCATTTAGCATTTTAATGAGAATAATTTTAAAGCTTTTTAAACACGGCTTTTCAACTTCTGTACAGACTGCTGGCAAGCAAAACATATTACTCACAAGAAAGGTTTCATCAGACTTTGATTTTTTTTTTTTTTTTTGGTGGCATATTTTTACATTGTGATTTCCCACCTGCACAAATATGACAAAGTGCACTCAGAAAAATCTTTCTCATATAATTTTAAGAAATGACTATAGTCACATGAGCCAGTAACATCCCCCCCCCCCCCCACACACACACACACACGTGTTCTGGAAACAGTTCTGGTATACACATGGAGTTTAAACTAGTCTGAAAAAAAAAAGTAAAGAGGAAAGACTGCATAATTTCAGAAAAGTAAAATCAAATATGCATAGGTATCTTTCCAGTGGTGAAAAAATGAACAAATTTGCAAAAATATATATTTTTTATTAACTTCCAAACCATATGTGAAAAGATACAAATTAAATAAAGATGGTGTCTACAAGAGAATAATGCTTACAATTTCTTAAAACCTGGTGGTACTATCCACCACAAAACAACTTATTGGGAATTATCTCACAGAATAAGAAATCTTTTATAAGAACTGATAAAATGTTCCTCAGAAGTACTCAAGCTCTCAGAAGGTAAAACAACCAAAAACATCATAAAATTACAAAAAACTGTTTAAAAATGCTTGTATATTGCTGAAAACATTACAAATATAAAAGAAGTGACAGTAAATGTAAATAACTGCTGATTGTTAATAAAGTATTAAAACATAATTTATAAACACAAGGTTGCACGTCTTATGTATAGTAAGAATCTAACAGGCACTATTTCTATATTTGTGTCCTTAAGGCACTTATGATGCATCCGGAAATTATTCACAGCGTTTCACATTGTCCACATTTTGTCATGTTACAGCCTTATTAAAACTGTATTAAATTAATATCTTTTCTCAAAATTCGACACACAATGCCCCATTATGACAATGTGGAAAAAAATGTATTTTTAAAATTTTTGTAACTGTATCAAAAATAGAAAACTAAGAAATCATATTTACATAAGTATTCACATCATTTGCTTAATACTTTGTTGATCCACCTTTGGCAGCATTTACAGCCTCAAGTCTTTTTCAGTATGATGACACAAGCTTAGCACACTTATCTTTAGGCAGTTTGTCCCATTCTTCTTTGCAGTACTTCTCAAGCTCCATCAGGCTGGATGGGAGACATCTGTGCACAGCTGATTCCAGATGCATTGTATTTCTCCAGTATGATCAATCATAAAACATTTGATTGTTGTACATGATGATTGATTGTTTTGGATGGGTGTGCTCTGTTTGCACTTGTTAAAAGCCTACTTCTGAGATTCTAACAGGAGGTTGGCTTGAAACACAGTGAGGGCTAACTATGGGACAGATAAGGTTGGCAGGCCGTAAACTGAGGTAGTTCTCTGGATGGGAGACAAAATGTTTCTCACTTAAAGAAACTGGTCCAGATGACACGATTTAACCTTTGTTTTAATTATTATTATGATCAATCATCTTCTTCAGCCACCATCCTTTCAATGGCAGCCCAGTCGATTTTGCTGAGGCTGCTGCTCGCACTCTCAGAGAGATTATCCAGCCAGTCCATCTCTGAAGGTCCACCTGTAGCAGCATCATCCTGTTCACCTAAAACCTGAGAAATGTACAGTAAGGGAGAGGGATTTTTTTATTTTTATGCAATAATTACCATAAATATGAACTACAACTGAATAATCAAAATCCTAAATGAAGCACCAATTATCCATTGGAAAGGTAAATTATTTTTTTTCCATGTACATAAATTGGATTCTAAATTGAAGTTATTATCAGAAATGTGATTCTCACAGTAACTCCTCCAGACCCGGCAGACTATTTGATTGTGAACTGTTCACCTTCTCTGTCTCTTCAACTTGTGTTTGCTCCCATGGGTTCCCTCTTCCTGAAGCAGCTCTGCGGGAAAACGTGCTGTTTAATCCCATCTTTCTCTGGGGTCCCACCCGCTGCCCCTCACTCTGGTTGGCTGCAGGATGCTTAGTTTGGCTCTTGGTGCTGCTGAGCATACCACGCCTGGTTACTTTAGACAGACGATCTCCTGGTAAATATGTCACTAAAACAAAAAGAGTCAATTAAATTACACACATTAAATTAATTACTAAAGCATTTACTGTAATTTGATTAGATTTGAGAGAGGTACCTGGTCGATGGAGTCCGAGTCTCCTGCGGAGATTCTCTGATTGTCGCCCCCCCACAAACTGGGCTTGTTCTGACTGAGACCCAAGTCTTCTTTTCTCACTGAGAGATTCAGTCTGAGGCCTGTACAAAAAAGATATTGTATCAGCTGTGGTTGAGTGGTTAGAGCAGTTGTCCTCCAATGGGAGAGTTGGGGGGTTTGATTCCGCCACTATGCAGTCACATGTTGAAGTGTCCCTGGGCAAGACACTGAACCCCTCACTGCCTCCAATGTGTGTCCCATCGGTGCATGAATATGATAAAGCACTGATTAGTCTCTACAGTTTCAGATTATCTTTGTAAAGATCTCGTAGAGTGCTGTATGAAGGTGTGTGTGGAGGTAAATGAGGGCACAGGTTGTAGTGTAAAGCACTTTGAGTATCTTGATCAGACAGAAATAAGTTTAATAAGCTATATTAGTACATTCCATCCATTTAGCTTTTACATATTTTACCAAATTACTATATAACGTTCTTACGTTCTTTATTATATACAGTGAGTATATATTTTGCTCTACAAAAAATGTAGACACTTTTGGGTTTTAAAGCATTAAGCAAGTTCTAAAATCTTTTACATGCATGTTTATAGCTTCATACTAAAGTGACTTGTCTTAAGACGGCTTTCATAGCCTTAAAATCCTTCACCTTCAGACATCAGCTCACTAAACATAAATGTAAAATATTTATCTTCCACACAGCCACTCAAGTGCTTAAGAAAACTGAGGTTTAGAGAATCAAGCAGTTAACCTGTGGATGGCTCAAGCTGCATTCAGAAAGTCATTCAAACCTTGAAGAAGGTTTAAAGTGAGTGACAGGAAAATTTTCTCTGTAATATTTTTCGATTATAAATGTATGAAAAGTTTGATTTTAATCATTCTCTTGTTGTGGTGTTTTGAATAGTTTAAGTCAAAGTGCAGTTTTATTCCATTGGACATGCTTTTGTTGTTTTTATCCATGTTATATTGTCTGTTGCTACTTTAATTATTCTGCTTTCCCAAGCATTGTCTGACAGTGTTTTTGTAATAATCATCAAAAAAAAAAAAAAAGAATTCTGTTGATTTAAATATAAGAAAGCTCACTTTGGATTTCAAAAGTTAGAAAAAAATGGAGGGATGCACAATATTAGATTTTTGGCTAATATCCGATATGCCAATATAATAACCAATACTGATATTTTTTTTCCTAGACCTACTTAAATAGACTACATAACTTTCTCTGCTGTGGAAATAAAATACTACATTATTCTGCACGGACTTTGTCAATTTGGCCTGCTACCAAATTCAGATGTCAAACAGGGGGCTGAAAGTGGTGTAACGCTTCAACTTGGATTATGTTTAATGTCAAATTTATTCATGACCTTTACTCTCTAACACAATGACAACACTTGAACAGTGCAAATTTGAAAATTTTCACAAATCCAAACCCAATCTGTTCACAAGCGACAAAAGAAAAGCGCATAAGTAGTAGTGCATTAAAAAATACTTGACAGTTTCGTAAATTAAAAATTTACTTAAAACAGAAGCCTTTTATATTGGTGAGTTATTTCGATGGGATGGCCGATATTTAATGTTATCGCTAATATTGGCCGATACAATACCATGCCCCCCTCCCTGGGCTGCCACCTTACCGTGGTGGAGGGGTTTGAGTGTCCCAATGATCCTAGGAGCTATGCTGTCAGGGGCTTTATGCCCCTAGTAGGGTCACCCATGGCAGACAGGTCCTAGGTGAGGGACCAGACAAAGTGCAGCCCAAACACACCCCTATGATGAAAAACACAAATGGACCTAGTGTTCCCTTGCCCGGACGTGGGTCACCGGGGCCCCACTCTGGAGCCAGGCCTGGAGGTGGGGCACGTGGGCGAGCGCCTGGTGGCCGGGCTTTTACCCATGTAGCTCGGCCGGGCACAGCCCGAAGAGGAGACGTGGGTCCCCCTTCCCATGGGCTCACCACCTGTGGGAGGGGCCAAAGGGGTCGGGTGCAATGTGGGATGGGTGGTGGCCGAGGGCGGGGACCCTGGCGGTCTGATCCTCGGCTACAGAAGCTGGCTATTGGGACGTGGAATGTCACCTCACTGGTGGGGAAGGAGCCTGAGCTGGTGTGTGAGGCTGAGAGGTTCCGGCTAGAAATAGTCGGACTCACCTCTACGCATGGCTCGGGCTCTGGAACCAGTTTCCTTGAGAGGGGCTGGACACTCTTCCACTCTGGAGTTGCCCCTGGTGAGAGGCGCCGAGCAGGCGTGGGCGTACTAATTGCCCCCCAACTTGGTGCCTGTGTATTGGGGTTCACCCCCGTGAATGAGAGGGTGGCCTCTCTCCGCCTACGTGTGGGGGGACGGGTTCTGACTGTTGTTTGTGCTTATGCACCAAACGGCAGTTCAGATTATCCACCCTTTCTGGAGTCCTTAGAGGGGGTACTGGAAAGTGCACCTTCTGGGGACTCCCTTGTTCTGCTGGGGGACTTCAATGCTCATGTGGGCAATGACAGTGAGACCTGGAGGGGTGTGGTTGGGAGGAACGGCCCCCCTGATCTGAACCAGAGTGGTGTTCTGTTGTTGGACTTCTGTGCTCGTCATGGATTGTCAATAACGAACACCTTGTTCAAGCATAAGGGTGTCCATATGTGCTCTTGGCACCAGGACACCCTAGGCCGCAGTTCGATGATCGACTTTGTCATCGTCTCATCTGATCTGCGGCCACATGTCTTGGACACTCGGGTGAAGAGAGGGGCAGAGCTGTCAACTGATCACTACCTGGTGGTGAGTTGGCTCCGATGGTGGGGGAGGATGCCGGTCAGACCTGGTAGGCCCAAACGTATTGTGAGGGTTTGCTGGGAACGTCTGGCAGAGTCTCCTGTGAGACGGAGTTTCAACTCCCACCTCCGGGAGAACTTTGAACATGTTCCAAGGGAGGTGGGGGACATTGAGTCTGAGTGGACCATGTTTCGTGCCTCTATTGTCGAGGCGGCTTACCAGAGCTGCGGCCGCAAGGTTGTCGGTGCCTGTCGGGGCGGCAACCCTCGAACCCGATGGTGGACACCGTCGGTGAGGGATGCTGTCAGGCTGAAGAAGGAGTCCTATCGGGCCTTTTTGGCCTGTGGGACCCCGGAAGCAGCTGATGGGTACCGGCAGTCCAAGCGACATGCGGCTCGGGTGGTTGCTGAGGCAAAAACTCGGGCATGGGAGGAGTTCGGAGAGGCCATGGAGAACGACTTCCGCACGGCTTCGAGACGTTTCTGGTCCACCATCCGGCGTCTCAGGGGGGGGAAGCGGTATGCCACCAACACTGTTTATAGTGGGAGTGGTTTGCTGCTGACCTCAACTCGGGATGTTGTGGGTCGGTGGGCGGAATACTTTGAAGACCTCCTCAATCCCACCGGCACGTCTTCCACTGAGGAAGCGGAGCCTGGGGACTCTGGGTCGGGCCCTCCAATCTCTGGTGCTGAGGTCACCGAGGTGGTTAAAAAGCTCCTCGGTGGCAGGGCCCCAGGGGTGGATGAGATCCGCCCAGAGTTCCTTAAGGCTCTGGATGTTGTAGGGTTGTGTTGGCTTACGCGACTCTGCAATGTTGCGTGGACATCGGGGGAAGTTCCCCTGGATTGGCAGACCGGGGTGGTGGTCCCCCTATTCAAAAAGGGGGACCGTAGAGTGTGTTCCAACTACAGGGGAATCACGCTCTTAAGCCTCCCTGGTAAGGTCTATTCGGGGGTTCTGGAGAGGAGGGTCCGTCGGATAGTCGAACCTCGGATTCAGGAGGAACAGTGCGGTTTTCGTCCTGGCCGTGGAACACTGGACCAGCTCTACACTCTCAGCAGGGTCCTGGAGGGTGCGTGGGAGTTTGCCCAACCAGTCTACATGTGCTTTGTGGACTTGGAGAAGGCTTTCGACCGCGTCCCTCGGGGGGGCCCTGTGGGGGGTACTCTGGGAGTATGGGGTACCAGGCCCTTTGATACGGGCTGTTAGGTCCCTGTATGACCGGTGTCAGAGCCTGGTCCGCATCGCCGGCAGTAAGTCGGGCTTGTTCCCGGTGAGAGTTGGACTCCGCCAAGGTTGCCCTTTGCCACCGATTCTGTTCATAACTTTTATGGACAGAATTTCTAGGCGCAGCCAAGGTGTTGAGGGGATCCGTTTTGGTGGCCTCAGAATTGCGTCTCTGCTTTTTGCAGATGATGTGGTCTTATTGGCTTCATCAGATCGTGATCTACAGCTTTCGCTGGAGCGGTTCGCAGCCGAATGCGATGCGGCCGGGATGAAGATCAGTTCCTCCAAATCCGAGGCCATGGTCTTGAGCCGGAAAAGGGTAGAGTGCCCTCTCTGGGTCAGGGAGGAGGTCCTACCCCAAGTGGAGGAGCTCAAGTATCTTGGGGTCTTGTTCACGAATGAGGGAAAAATGGAGCGTGAGATCGATAGGCGGATAGGTGCAGCATCTGCAGTGAAGCGGGCGCTGTACAGGTCTGTCGTGGTGAAGAGAGAGCTGAGTCAAAAGGCGAAGCTCTCAATTTACCGATCGATCTACGTTCCCACCCTCATCTATGGTCACGAGCTTTGGGTTGTGACCGAAAGAATGAGATCTCGGATACAAGCGGCCGAAATGAGTTTTCTCCGCAGGGTGTCTGGGCTCTCCCTTAGAGACAGGGTGAGAAGCTCGATCATCCGGGAGGGACTCGGAGTAGAGCCGCTGCTTCTCCACATCGAGAGGAGCCAGTTGAGGTGGCTTGGGCATCTGTTTAGGATGCCTTCTGGACGCCTCCCTGGTGAGGTGTTCCGGACACGTCCCACCGGAAGGAGGCCCAGGGGAAGACCCAGGACACGCTGGAGGGACTACGTTTCTCGGCTGGCCTGGGAACGCCTTGGGATTCCCCCGGAAGAGCTGGCCCAAGTGGCTGGGGAGAGGGAAGTCTGGGCCTCCCTACTTAGGCTGCTACCCCCGCGACCCGGCCCCGGATAAGCGGAAGAAAATGGATGGATGGATGGATGGATGGATGGACAATACCATGCCGATAATACTGTGCATCCCTAAAAAAAGTTAATAACATCTATTGTACACAGGTGAATCAAGACAAACTGAGGCTTTTGAATTCCTAACTGATGGATAAATAAAAGTATTCATAGCATTACCGGTACTTCTACTTTATTATTATTATTATTATTATTATTTGTCTTGTCATTAACAACTAATTTTGATTCTGACTTCAAATCAGTGATTAATAATTGACTGACTTGCGAGCTTCGACCACAATTAAAGTTTAATGAATCAAGATCCTAGTCCTGTTACTGTAGCAAAAGATGACCTGCGAGTGTTGCTGGGAGGAGGAGCAGAACTCAAGCGAGTGTTGGAGCCCACAGGAGGAGCATCCGTCTGTGAAGACCGCTGCATGTTTTTAGGGGAGTTGAGGAAATCTGCAGCTAAAGAACAAGCCTCGCGTGTCCTCTGGTTGTACTGCTTCAGAAGCGTTAACCTGTAAAATAAAATTAAACTAACAATTTATAAATTCATAAGCAAGCCTTTGGAGCACAAATTAATAAGTACCTACTTTTCTTTTTCCTCTCTGGTTCTCCCAGTTGTTGCTCCATTTCGGTTCTCAGATTTCTGCAAAAAAAGTGGATAAGCAGCATTGTCATTAAAAGCACAACAGAATGGAGTATTATTTTAGAAAATAACATCTCACCCTTGCTGGATTGGAAGAGAAAGGTTTGTGCTCTCTTTCTCTAAGATTTTCTCTGTGTTTCTGATAAGCAGCCAGTCTTTCTCTTTGTTTCCTCCTCATCCAGATCCTCAGCTCCTTCCTCTCGTCCTCAGGAAGCGTGGGTTTCTGCAACGTCCAGCTGCTTCGCTGCTGGTCCTGCCTGCTGTGCTGCTGGTCCTGCCTGCTGTGCTGCTGGTTCTGCCTGCTGTGCTGCTGGTCCTGCCTGCTGTGGGCCATTTTGTTTGTGAGTGCAGGACTTTTTCTAGTTATTCTAACAGTCACTTGACAAGCACAGTTTTCTAATCTGCAGTATACCTGCTATGGTGTGCGGTCTGCGAGGTGGAAAAACTCCAGTCGGTGGGAGATAAGTAACCTTCCCGCATCAACTCGTCTAAGATTTCTGCTGTATCAGATAACCCGCTTTGACTCAGATTCTCATCCTCCCACCTGTAATTAAAAGAGAAGGGCATGTCTTGTAGAATGGAAGATCTTTTAAATGTTCTAAGACATTAAGTCGACAAACTTACGCATGAGTTATCCTATAAGTCTCATTGAAGTGTTTCATTCCTGTAGGAGTAAGATGGCAGAAAATGACTGAGAAGAACAACATATGGCGACATAAACACAGAGTGGACTCCATCTTATATTTAATATCACTTTAAGCTCCAGAGGTAGCCGGCGTCCTGACATGTAAACAAAGAATACAAACATAGTTTTCTCCAAACCCAACAGATTTTAGTGAAACTTTAACATGATTAAAAGCTTCTTAAACGTTTGAGTTAAACGGTGACTTCACCTGGTGGAGTGTGAATGAAGGAAGGACCCGCCTGTTGACTGGAAGGAGATGTAGAATCATACAGAGATGGCTTTGTCCCGGGGCTGATGGAGTCATTATGAACATGTTCTTCATTTTGTTTTTCTTCTGTCATGTTTCTGGTCTTCAGTTTAGTTAAATGGTCTGAATCAGATCTTGGTGTCCATGCTGTTGCAAATATTACAGATCCGGTGTTAATTAAACAACCTCAGACATTTAGTTTTTCTTAAAATGGCTTCAATGGTTTTATTAAAGACTGTGATTTGTCTATGCGTTTTCACTTCGACACAAAGATTTCATAACAAATGAGAATTTATTTGGTCCTACCATTCGTTGGGACAGAGATTCTGACAGTTTTCTTTACGGGTGTGGTTGTTTTCACATCTGGTGTCATGTTTGAGGAGAGCTGTTCAATTTCGTTCACCAGCTACACACAGAGACAAACAATGATTATTCTGTAATTTTATATAAAGGTGTCAGCCGTTAAGAGTCTGACTCAGATAACCATATTTTTTGGACTATAAGGCACACTTAAAATCCTTTAATTTTCTCAAAAATCAACAGGGAGCTTTATAATCAGGTGTGTCTTATGTATTAATTCTGGTTGTGCTTACTGACCTCAAACTGATTTTATGTGGTTATTGTGAATGAGTTGAATAAAGTTTGACTTATTTGACTGTTTTGTTTCACTTAATGCACCTTATGTATGAAAACTGACCCGTTCATTGATATTGCGACTTATAATCCGGTGCACCTTATAGTCTGAAAAATACGATATAGAGAAATCTTAGGAGAAAATTAAAACATGCTGATGTTACGTACCATTCTGGAGTTTGAGAACTCCATTTCAAGATTATCTGCAATGTTCTGCAGAGCAGCCAACTGGGCATCCAGCTCTGACAAGCGAGAGAACTGTACTGTAGGAGGTGAGGAGGGCTTTTTATCAGGTCTCTGGGCCTTTGTGTTTATTATTTCAGAATCAGATGAATCTAACATCACATTGTCTAGTAGGATGATTCTCTCTGAAACTCTGCTGGACCCCATGTGACTGAATGATGGAGACACCTCAGGGATATCTAGGGTGTGAAAAAATATTTGTAACAAACAGATTGAGCTAACACCGGTGCTGCATCAAGATATAACTGAAATCTTTCAAATAAATGTCTGAAATAACCTGTGGAATTGGTGGGTTTTGTGGGATGCTCTTGAACTGCGACTGAGGGTTGTGGTTCAGCAGCAGCTCTGATAACAGAAGTCGCAAGAACGTGAAGCTGAGCAGACGTAGGCAAGGAAGGAATATCTTGTACTTCTGGGATGGGATGTTGCAGCACATCGTCATGCTGGATTATGTCTTCTAGATCTAAAACACTAATGAACTGGCGGCCTCCCAGATCCTGAAAGATAAAAGACTGATGCTGAATGCACTGAAGTATATGAGATCATTTTGACTCAGATTTTAACTCAAAAGCACAATTTCTTGCAGCTAAATCTATACAGCTTTATATGTGACACTAATAGTGGACTCACCAGGATCTTCTCTGGTTTCTCTGAAGTCTCCTCTGTGTTTTGAGATGGATCTTCATGGAACATGTGGCGAATCCCCGGACTTTGTGCTGATTAAAAATAAAAAAAAGTTAAAAAAAAACCCTCAAATAAGCAGTTTGAAAAATATTCAATGAAATCACATCTCCAAGAAAATTTTTAAAAAGTGTCATCTTTATAGACAAGTTACATTTTGAGCTGCTTATCGTCACAGAGGTTTGGACTGAAACGGCTTTATCCACAAGAACCGGAGAACAGGCTGTAAAGAAAACAGAAAACATTATGAATACAAACTCATATTACATGTTTTGTAGAGCTGCATTTAAAATGATTCTGTATTTTCATTTAATTCAAGCAACACGCATCAAAATTATACTTTCAACTTTAGATATTTCTGACTGAACAGTTAGGACATAGTAACTTTAAAAACTTATTGTCTACAAATACAAGCAAATACAACATATGGACATCATAACTGTGTAAAACTGATTACATATTAGCACACCTAACTCACCTGAGTCTGTGTTGGTAAAAGCATCATGGCTCTCTGGGGGTCGTTTACTTGTGGAAGCAAAAGCGTGGAGTTCAGCTGAAGTGGAGAAAACTTTGTCTAACAATCTCTGACCAGTCAGCAAAGAGTTGGAGGATCCTGGAAGGTAAAGAACAGTAGCTCAACAGAAATGTCAAAAGCTGCTAATTGTCTGATACATAAATATGTTCTAACATGTGCAATACATGCCAAACTATTAACTACAAAATCTGTGAAAAAGAAATGTTGTAGTCTTTAGGTAAAGAAGAATTAGGTTGCAACATTTCTTCTACTTCTTAATTTTACTTGAATAAATATTTATACTTTTACTTGGCTAAATATTATCCTTGTTTGGTACTATTAGTGTTTAGTGTATTCTTAGTTTAATGTATTCTTAGTTTAGCGTATTCTTAGTTTAGTGTATTTAGTGTATTCTTAGTTTAGTGTATTCTTAGTTTAGTGTATTCTTGGTTTGGTGTATTCTTAGTTTAGTGTATTTAGTGTATTCTTAGTTTGGTGTATTCTTAGTTTAGTGTATTTAGTGTATTCTTAGTTTAGTGTATTTAGTGTATTCTTAGTTTGGTGTATTCTTAGTTTAGTGTATTCTTAGTTTGGTGTATTCTTAGTTTAGTGTATTTAGTGTATTCTTAGTTTGGTGTATTCTTAGTTTAGTGTATTTAGTGTATTCTTAGTTTGGTGTATTCTTATTTTAGTGTATTTAGTGTATTCTTAGTTTTGTGTGTTCTTAGTTTAGTGTATTCTTAGTTTAGTGTATTTAGTGTATTCTTAGTTTAGTGTATTCTTAGTTTAGCATAATTCTTGGTTCATATTATTAGTTATTACTGTTTTTCTTTACAATTTGTATTTTTGTTGGGTGTAACTGGGACCCTGTGTACTTTGTACATACTGCAGTTTCGTTCCACCTCATGTATCACATGTAAGGTGAATGACAATAAAAAACCTTGAATCCTTGAATTTTGACAATTCAGACAAACGTCATTCCTCCATGATTCAGTGTGAGGCAAATATGCAGCAGTTGTGTCAGCTTTCAGAATAACAACAGCGTACTTTATATATATATATATATATATATATATATATATATATATATATATAT